CATTGCTATTTACTGATTTAATTCCCCCTCTCCTCATCTCAGATCGCCCCTGAAGACCCTCTTCTTCGACCGTGTTTAAGGTCACCTTCCCCCCCCGTCTCGACTATCATGCGCTTTGGGGACACTGCCCCGCTTGAGGGGCGCTATGTAAATGCAAGTTGTTGTTGTTTCGGACTGCAATCCAGTCCCGTACTGTCCGCAGTTCCTCACCAACGAAGAGTGGAGGGCGAGTGCCTGAAGGATACAGTGAGCGTCACACACAAAGCAAAATCTCCCCTTCCTCTCACCTTGACCACAGTCAGCCCGTTTTCTCAGGTTTCTAATGTAAATGAAACTACATCTGCATTAAACAGCCAAGGCCACAGCAGGTTACTGCGTTAGTAAATAGAATTTGCAGCTTGTATGCAGTCTCCAGCACTACAATCCCACTGCATAGGGTTTCTTTACTCTAACTCAAATCGTAACTCAAAAGATGGGGGTTCAACTCTGTGTAAATGACTTGAAATGATCTGACGAACTGGTCAGGCAACAAGTCTGGAAATAGTTCTAAAATGCAACTCAAAGCTTTATCGAGATATATAAATAATATATAATAATCCGTGCATTTGATATAGCGGCTTATCACGTCTTCGAAACGTCTCAAAGCGCTTCACAATGATATACCGTAAAGTGAATTGACTGTGTATTTTGTGGGCGAAACACAGAAGTGTTCCATTCATGAATTGAGTGACCAAATTCTTCCTATATTTTTGGAAGGGATTATTACCCGACAAATTGGTTCCTACTTACTGTTGGATAAACAGAGGTGTGTGGAGTAAGGAAACTTGCCCAATGTTTCGCTCTGCCCAGGAATCGAACCCAGGTCCTCTCGCTTGCGAGGCGAGTGCTCTAACCGCTAAGCTACAGGGACTGCACAAGTCCTATGAATAGAGAAATGTTTTGAAAAATGAATTATGATCATAAATAGACGCACAGCGTGAGTGAAGATTGCTCATCTTAAACTCCACAGCAATTAAGGAGCCAATGGACTTCGCACTAGTTTTGTTGAACCCACATTTCAAGTACGTTTGGTTTCTTCGCAGGTAATGAAGCAGATCTGCCCAGGGAATTGGTTTGTCAACATTATTGCCAGTTTAAACCTTGTGTGTACCATTAGGCAACAGCAGAAATTTCAGAGTCAACAGTTTCAGTGCAGGAAGTCGTTTGACGGGAAACACTGTGTGTATTGAAGGCATATTGTAAAGCGACTGTATAGGGATTCTTCTATTGCGATATTACAGCAGCAATATTAATCTGGGTTAATTAACTGTAGTTAAAATGTAATTAACTGAGTCAATTAACCTTTGGTCTGCTTCAGTGCAGGCTAAATGGAGTCACATTATCTGACCCCAAGTATGTCCCAGGTGACTGTCAGTACACTGGGTATCCAATAACCATTTTCTCCAAAATCTAATGGGACAAAAATTGGAAATAATTGGGGGCTTAGGACTGAACATCAACGCTCTCTCAATAAGTTAATGGTTCTCGAGCAGGCTAATGATGAAAAATGTTATCCCGAAATTCTGGAACACTCTTCCTCTATCCCTCCCTCCGTCCCTTGCCCCTTCCTGCCCCATCTTCAGATCGAGCCTGGAGACCTTCCTCGTCAACTGTGCCTACGGTCACCTCCCTTCCCCCTTCCCCTAGGCTCGGTGTCATGTGAGGGTGGGGGGGGTGGTGCTATGTAAATCCAAGTTGTTGTTGTTACCCTGAACTCTGGGCTGTCCAAAAATATCGACAATATTCAAAATTTTGTGTATAAATTGTGGTGGGATGTATAGATGGGCTGTGGCTAGGAGTCATTTGTCTATGTTTCATTACTTAGTTAATCCTTGTAATTTGAGATAGCGCCTTATCATGTCTCAAAGAGCTTCACAGGATACACTGGTGGGTCACTGTGTATCTTGTGGGCGAGACAAAACAGTCACTCCTCCATGAACGGAAAAACATTTCATTTAAATTTATTTGAATATTTTAATTTATTTAACTTCTCTGCTTCCTTTGCTGTTACCTGACGCTACTTTCCTTCGGTCGCTGGACGCATCGGTCTCGAGTTTAAAAGATCCCAGGGATGATATCAGGCCCGTTCAGTGATGGGAAGACTTTGCAGTTTTTACAGTCGTAGTTTCTTCAAAGTGATTGCCTCCTCCGCCTTGGTCCCTCTCTCCCCTGCCTGAAAATCTTCCTTTTCGATTGTAGTTACGGTCACCTTTGCCCCCACACCCTGCACGCCCCACCCCCCTACCTCACCCTTCACTGTTAAGCGCTCTGAGACGCTATCCTGTGTGGAGAGCGCTATATAAGTTATTGTTGCTGCTTCACAAGAAATGGGGCAGTAGTGGCAGCGATTTGTGGGTGGGTGAGTGCATCCTACCTGTTAATGCTCCAAGGGATAAGATGACAGAAGTGACAGGCAGACACATTACCCCCTAAGCAGAACATTGCACCACATCCGGCACCTGGTTGTTACGCAGCTGTTTGTTGCTCCCTGACTAAAAGAAATACCACATCAATATCTTCATCACTCACACCTGGGTCCCTAAGAATAGAAGGAACGACTGCAGTTTCTTCCATCCCCAATCTGTCTCTTCATTTACCCGATGTCTTTTAGTGTTGATCGCTGTTATTTCTCATTGTCCTGATAACTCATCGTTTGGGATGTAACGCAGACACACACACTATTGCAAAGTTTTCAGCAATAATCCTGCCACGAGGCAAATCCACGAGCATCTGAATGTCACCGTAAATTATCACAATTACCGTAATATAACATATTAAAATCATCTTGGGAGGAATTCCTCCCATTCTAGTTTCTCGTAAAATGTACGTGGTAATAGTAATCCTTGCATTTGATATAGTGCCTAATCACATCGTTGAGACGTCTTAAAGCGCTTCACAGGATATACGGTAAAGTGAATTGTCTGAGTATTTTGTGGGCGAAACGTGGCAGCCAATTGCGCACAGCAGCGTCCCCACAAACAGTCCCCAGGCCTAACCTCGATGTAGTTTCCAATAAAACTCTTTTGCCGCACGGGAAGAGGATAAAGAGACAGCACCACGTGATTTACCAAGATCATAGACTGTATTTGAAGATGAATCAATGAATGAATAGGTCAGATAGGTCAGATGTGCTTTTACCTAAACATTCAACGTGGACACAACAAATGCATTTCTGAACCGTTTTTTTTTAAAAAGGAGGGGAAAAAACACTTTCCGCCATCGTCCGCTGTGATAATTTGCCACTTTATATTAAAATGTTTCTCAGTTGAGTTGAAACAAGTGAAGGGAAAGGTGCAAACATGGGTGAAACACACAAGGTCTTTCTCTGCTTAGACGGTGAGTTGAAGAGGCTTTTTATGCACCAATTAGGTAATGGAACCTTGTCCTTGGGCAATGTTTATAATAATAATAATCCTCGCATTTGATACAGCACCTTATCACGTCTTTGAGACGTCTCAAAGCGCTTCACAGAATATACTGTAAAGTGAATTGACTGTATATTTTGTGGGCGAAACGCGGCAGCCAATTGCGCACAGCGACGTCCCCACAAACAGTCGTGGGTTGAATGACTAAATTGTTTATTTATTTATTTTGAAGAGATTATTAGCCCCGGAAAAGCAATCCACCAATCGACTAACAACCGGGTTCCTACTTACTGTTGGGTAAACAGAGGCGTGTGGAGCAAAGAAACTTGCCTAACGTTTCGCCCTGTGCCCGGGAATCGAACCCAGGTCCCCTCGCTTGCGAGGCGAGTGCTCTAACCACTGAGCTACAGGACCCCAACCAGTTGCAGGACTCCTTTAGATGTATGGGAGACGAGGGGGGTGGCGGGGTGGGGGGGGGCAGGGATTTTCTTCAGGATTCTCTCTCGTTTCTTTTTGTGTGTGTCGTTTGGTCAAGTCGTTGTTTTAATACAAAGTACAGTCATTCTAAGGCAAACATAACAAATCCAGTGCACCAATTTCCATCCACTCCCATTGTACAGTAGCAGTTCTGATCAGAACTTTACATTTCTCGGCAAACCGGACGTGGGCCACATGTGCTTATCGCAGTGGGTTACATTCTAACCCACCTCCACCTTCAGGTTCATGCTGGTGTGACATCTCAGTGCATCACCATAATACTAATAATAATAATAATAATCCTCACAATTTGATTTAGCGCCTCATCACGTCTTCAAGACGTCTCAAGGCCCTTCACCAGAACATATAATGTAAATTGAATTGACTGCGTATTTCGCGGGCGAAACGCTTATTCAAAAAAAATTGCGTACAGCGGTGTCCCACAAACAGTCGTGGATTGAGAGACCAAATTATTATTATTATTTTTTTTAAGGGATTATAATCCTCGGGAAGCGATCCACCAATCGACTAACAACCGGGTTCCTACTCAAAGCTCGGTAAGCAGAGCCGTGTGGAGTAAGGAAACTTGCCTGACGTTTTGCCCTTGCCCAGCCCAGCCGGGAATCGAACCCAGGGCCTCTCGCTTGCCAGACGAGCGCGCTAACGACTCCGCTGCTGGATTCCACAAGTAGGGGCCCTGGATCTTTCGGTTAATTTTGCCACTTACTGTAATTCTCTTTCGAAACCGAAAGCTGGCAAAGCAGAACGCGGGTAACGGGCGGGCAAGGTGTTGAGTCTTCTGCAGGGACTTCAACAACGCTTTTTGGGGCGGGTGGGAATACAAACTTCCTTTTGGATAGCGCCTTTCACGTCGGGAGGACGTCCCGAGGCCTTGGGAGAATGTGGAGAACCCTGGAATCTTCTGACCTGATCATGCAAATAATGTTGCACCAAAACCGCACCTGGGTGGAAGAAGCCACACGTTATTTCTCTCCCTTCCTCTCTCTCTATCTCACTCACTCTTTCTCTCTCTCTCTCTCTCTCTCAATCTGCTGTCTACAATGTGCCAACAGCATTGTTCTGCTGCGTTGCAAAAAAAAGAGAAACAGCTGCTCGGGATGCAGGAAGCAAGATATTTACAGTAAATTAATGGAATTATAGAACATTTTGTCATGAGGGCCGACCGACCGACCGAAATTCATCCTCGCTAATCAGTCAACGTCATTCTCGTTGCTGGCACCTTCCGGGCACCGTGGGTTATCCACCGGTTCATTAATCTGTCCGTCTCCGCCCTTCCTGTCTTCCGTCTGCACGCTCAGGCACTCCTCTTCATCCACGTGACTCACGTCATCGTCTTCGTCCTCTTCCTCGCCCTCTTGTTTCTTCTCCTCTTCCCCCTGGACCTCCATCCTGACCTGACACTTGATGTCGAGGTCCTCGTTGTTCAGGACGATGGCGATGGGGGTCGAGCCCTCGAGGATGTTGTTCTCCTCGGCTGGGGAGGAGGAGGCTGTGCAGACGGACGAGATGTCGCTACTGCTGGGGCTCGGGCTGTAGATGGACGTGGCTATCGAGGGCGGCTTGACGGGAATCTGCCAAGAGGGGATCTTTGGAGCGGACGGAGACGCAGGGAACTGTTGCCTAGAAGCACAAACGTGCAAATTAGTGTTAACGTGGAACATTGTAAAATGCAGCAATAGATCAACTGACTGCAAACCATTTTGCTAAACACTTAACACTAGTATTAACATAATTATTAACACTATTATTCCACAACACAAGTCTTACCTAAGCAGCCTCACCCCCATCCCCATCCCCGACTCCGCGCAGTGATATTTAGTTTCTCTTCTCTGTCTCCTCGCCTCCACTTGGAGACCAAATCAGAGACACATTTTGCCTCCTCACTCACCCCATCCATGTTATGGAAGATGGCGCTCACACACATTCACTCACACCCACACACTTGCTCACACACACACTCACACACACTTACTTACATACACATACACACACACTCACACACACACTTACATATACACACACACACACACACTCACACCGATCCTCTGGACGTCTAAATACAGCTAAACCCCTGTACCGAATACATTTAAGCTACTTCCGAATACAACGATCACCATTCTTCCACACACTTCAGTTGTCGGTCTGTAGGGAAAAAAAAATGATGGCACACACGGGGGTAACAGGACTTTGTGAACACCCTGTGGGTTTCAATCATAACACAGATCAAACGCTGCCAGGTTTACCTGCTCAGAAGAAGTCCTTTCAGCGAAGTGATCTCAGCTTTCAGTTCACTGAGACTCTGAGATTCCAGAAGAGAGTTTGTGGATGTAGAAGCCTAAGGCAGACAGAATCGCAAATTAGGGGCCGTCGCAACAACAACAACAACTTGCATTTATACCGTGTAGCGTCCCAGAGCGCCTGAAAGTGGTGGAGCACGACCCCGGGGGGAGGTGACCGTAGGCACGGGGAAGGAAGGGGCAATGGCGGAGGGATGGAGGAAGAGTGCGCCAGAGTTTCGGGGAGTAGTGGCTGAAAGCGCGGCCACCGATGGTGGAACGGAGGGCACGATACTTGCAAAAAGCCTTTGCTCCCAAAGAAATGACCTTTAGTCCAAATCAAATTGTGCGCTTTAACGTGTGACTTGTATATTTCGAAGGATACATTCCACTATTACTGGGTTCAATTCCCGGGCAGGGCGAAACGTTGGGCAAGTTTCCTTATTTCAAAAGATAATAATAATTTGGTCACTCCACCCACGACTGTTTGGGGAACGCTGCTGTGCGCAATTGGCTGCCGCGTTTCTCCCACAAAATATACAGTCAATTCACTGTACGGTATATTCTGTGAAGGGCTTTGAGACATCTCGAAGACGTGTTAAGGAGCTATGTCAAATGCAAGGATTATTATTATCAAGTGCTGCAGCTTTTCATCGAGTTACCAGGGTGCTCTGTAGCTCAAATTATTCCACAAAACAAGATTGAACAGAATTTAATCACATTAGTCATTTATGAAAATGAATGAATGCACAATGCCGTGTGATATTCCCAGAACCACAAATAAATGCAGAAGAAGTTTACATACTATTTGACTAGAAGTAAAATATCAAAAATAACATCGACTTTGTTCCAAAACTGCATTGCATGCAAGCTTCAAGAAGATCAAATAACTGTCAACAATGCCTCCATTCAATGCCCAAAAGGTAATTTGACTAACGTAAATGACAGGGTGTTTTTTAAAGTAGAAAGTGACGTTATCTTTGATTTTTGTTTAAAAAAGTCAGTTTTATATTTGAATTGCAAATAACCCTAGCATTATCATGCAGAGAGGCACGAACAGTGATCTGTGGGGAACTCACCCAGAAGATGGTCTGGTTAGCTCGTCAAATAATAAATTGGTCACTCAATCCGCGACTGCTTGTGGGACGCTGCTGTGCGCAATTGGCTGCCGCGTTTCGCCCACAAAATATGTGGTCAGTTCACTTTGCAGTATACTCTGTGAAGCGCTTTGAGACGTCTCGAAGACGTGATAAGGCGCTATATGAAATGCGAGGATTATTATTATTATTGGTAAGTTAGCAAGAGGACATGTGTTCGGGAAGGATTCTCTCATGTGGTACTTTATCAAACGCCTTTTGAAAGTCTACATCCTCTGGCTTACAATAACCAACAAATACATAGCCACTAAACTTTACAGCAAGGGTTATTTTTACATAACCCCAATCCAGATTTTGATTCCCCTCTGTATAACAAAATGCCGTAAAATTGTCTTTCCCAACCGAGAATTCGCACCCTCACGTTTTGGAGCCTTTATGTAGCGGAAACTAATTTTTTTGAAAAGAAAAAAGTGAAAATATTTTAAAAGTGGCAGTGATAACATCTTTCCTTTTTTGGGGGGGGAGGTGGAGGAATAATGTATTTTTTTGAAGAAATTATTATCCCTGGAAAAACGACTAACAACCGGGTTCCGACTTACTGCTCGGCGTGTGGAGTAAGGAAACTTGCCCAACATTTCACCCTGCCCGGGAATCGAACCCAGGTCTCTCGCTTGTGAGGCGAGTGCTCTAACCACTGAGCTGCAGGACTCCACGAGCAAAAAATATGGGTATCAATCAACAAATGTCCTAACTTCGTCTCAAAATGTGCTGGTACACAGTTAGGACCGTCTCAAATGGCCTGGCTAAGTGCCAACTGTTATTGCTAAGTAATTTTAGCAGCTGAATAGTCATAAACCCCTCAGCCTTAATGGTAAGTGGCTTTTATAAGGAACATATGCTGCTAATCACTCATTGTGCACCTGGAAACAATTTCGCAGTTTCCCCACATGGTTTCGAACTACAAAGCCCCCATGTTTCCAAAGTAAATTTGAAATTAATTCTTAGGACAGTAATACCAGCAGCATGATGCGTTATACGATCGTTTTGTTGCCACCTCTTGTTTTACACGCACTGAATTTTCGAACTGGCCCAGAACAGATCCCAACACCTGCTAGTTTTCAACAGGCCCTTCTGGAAAAGCACAGCCATCTCCTTTATGGTCATTGGCAGTATTTGCGCTTGGTTACTTCAGAGGAATCTCCTATTAAGAGTGATTAACCTGTGTGCACCAGTCTTTGGATGAGGGTAATTTCTCTTCTGTGCAGGTGTAGTTTGTAACAGAAACGTGTGTAATGCTGCACCTGATCCTGTTCTCAGAATGGGTTGGAACAAATATTATTTCTAAAGTCTTATGAAAATACAAAGCATTCTACCGTCTAGTTCTCACCACTAGGAAATGAAGAGGAACACAGTCCTGAGCGAACTCAACTGCACCTGGATAATGTTCCTAAGGTTAGAGAAGAGCTGATGCCTTCTTAGAAACGCAGGTGAAAATCATTTTAAAAACTCGCTCACTCCACGACTGCTTGTGGGACGCTGCTGTGCGCAATTTGACTGTCGAGTTTCGCCCACAAAATTCGCAGTCGTTCCACTTTACGATATATTGTGCAGAGCACTTTGAGGTGTCTCAACAACGTGATAAGGCACTATATCAAACACAAGGATTATTATTATTATTATTATTAAATACCAGTGGTAATGGTCACAGCGTCGAAACAGGAGGTCGAAATCCTGATCTTTATAAGCTCATGACATGATAGCACACGTCACATTCTTTTTAACCCCCGTTAGCGGAGTTCAAGAGAGCACCCAACTTCTTTTCAACCTTTAAGCGAATACAGTGCCAGAGGCAGAAGAAGGCCGGGCCAAGCCTGTGTGGGGACAACAAACAAACCTCTCATGCTCTGTACGGTAAGCAGGGTTAAAGTGTATCTGGTGCCTTGCAACAAAAAAATGCCGACGCCTAAGCACAGCACGGTACGAATGGAACGTAAATGTGCTGGTCCGTAGCAAGTCCTTCGAGGGAGATTTTCTTTCACGCGACTGACTGCGAGGACAAGTCAGTTGCGACGTTCGTCTTTTTTTAAAACGACAAGAAATTTAGCCCATGACTTTTTTTTAATTCCGCTTTTTCGCTTTTTCCTGCTACTTTTGTGATGATGATGGCTGTGTGGGGAGAGCGAATGGCATGTGCTTGCAGGTTGGTTGACAGACTGCAGGAGCACATCAGAGAGAATGCTTGATGTTCCCCGGCGGTTTGAAAGGAATAGAAGAGTTTGGTTGCACTTTCAAGTTCGCAACAAAGCCGGGGCTCAAGAGATTTCCAAAGTTGATCAACAATCAACATCAGATCCCGAGAACGGTTGTGTTTTTCGGAAGGTCACTAACTAATTCAAGTTATTCTCTCTCTCTCTCTCTCTCTCTCTCTCTCCCCCCACTCCCCTCCTCCCCCGCCCCCAACTGAACTAGACATCTTCCAAATGTGTAGCCTTGAAACAATAATGCTTCTCCTTTCTGTGTACAATCAATCCTGTGAGGGGGATTCACTTAGCGATGCATACTTTGCCCACCGCGCTCTCCCCATTGTGGTGAACAGCTTCTGTCGTGTTTCTGATCGCTGTTGTCTGACCCAGTTCATCGCAGGGAATTGTTGGTCCCAGCCCTGGAAACTCCTCAGTTCTGACCAGTCACTCAAATTAATAATTATAATAATAATAATCCTTGCATTTGATATAGCGCCTTATCGCGTCTTCTAGACGTCTCAAAGTGCTTCACAGAATATACTGCAAAGTGAATTGACTGTGTGTTTTGTGGGCAAAACGCAGTAGCCATTTGTGCACAGCAGCGTCCCACAAACAGTCGTGGGTTGAGTGACCAAATTATTATTTTTTTTGAAGGGATTATTACCCCCCCACCCACCCAAAATCCGCCAGTCAACTAACAACCGGGTTCCTACTTACTGCTGGGCGAACAAAGGCATGTGGAGTGAGGAAACTTGCCCAACGTGTCGTCCTGCCCCAGGAATCCAACCCAGGTCCTCTCGCTTGTGAGGCGAGGGCTCTAACCACTGAGCTGCAGGACTCAGGGCCTTATCACGTGGTTGAGATGTCTCCAAGCGCTTCATACAGAATATATAGGAGAGCGGAGTGACTGTATTTCGTGGGCGAAAGGCTATTATTCTTAAACTCTATTATTAAAGCCATTCTGTTGAAATGGCAAAGTCTTAAAATTAAAAGCTGGGTCAGAAGCTTGGGGTTCCACCTTAAGAGCAAGGCTTTTGACTACCACTTGTGCTAGACTACCGTAGGAGTAGTATTAGTCAGCAAAATCTCATCACGAACAGAAGGCTCAATTCTGGTGCATTTGCTTTGATAATTACCGCACGGCCTACAAATTTGACTCCTCTGCTCAACCTCACCAACGCTATCTTGCTCAAAACTAGAATATGTGATTCATTGTGAAGACAGCAGTACAATTCTTTTTTTTTCTACTTGGAGTTGAGATACAGATCAGTTATGATCTAATAGAATAGCTGAACAGTCTCGAGGGGCTGAATGGTCTCCTCCTGTTCCTATGTTCCTACATGTAAATAGTTTGAGGAAATGGAGAACTTGACGTCCAGATCGACATCAGACAAACGAGTTTGACATGGATTTCGCACTTTGCTTGTGGTTTCAGAACACAGTTGAGGAGGGAATTATCTCGAATCTGTGCCCTGAAGTGCAATCCATAGAACAGTGACTAATATTTAAAAGATGCACTTTTTAATTTTAATTTTAATGTTTTTTTGAATCTGGTTGCAAAATCGATACTTTCTTTGCGAGCTTTGCATAGTCCAACAACCTAAACTGAGTGAAACATTATTGCCGTTACTCTTCATTGTAATGGAGCAATAATATTAATCCTTGCATTTGACACAGCGCCTTAATCACGTCGTCGAGACGTCTCAAAGCGCTTCACGGGATAGACTGTGAAGTGAACGGACTGCGTACACTGCCTTTCACGTCGCAGGAACATCTCAAAGGATTTCACGGGGACGTTTTGTGACAAGGACGGACAAAATATAGTGTAGAGCTCACTAAAAGGCCATTTGCCACATCAGGCAATTCCCTTCACCGAGAGCGTGTGTTCTTTGTCGCTATAAAACATGTGTCTAATCTATGAAGGCAGCAAACAACTACAAATGAAACTTTTAAGTCAATCCTCAAAAGGCAATCAAGCGAAACTCCAGGATATTACTTCAGCCTTCCAAGTCCATATGGTTCAATCTGCACAGTTGTTTCTTTCCACAGACCCTCACATCCATAGTTCTAATGGCACAGGAAACATCAATCGCCACAGGGAATCTGATCTGTGTCTATTTTTACCCTTATAACCTTCAATCTCGTTCTTACACAGTTATTGATCCAGCTTTTTTTTCTCTAAAGGAGTTATTCACACAGCATTAACTGCTTTGTCCTCGAGGCTGTTCAGTACCTGTGTTTCACGTTCCATTCATTACCTTCTCTGTCAGAGTTGGGTAACATTCTACAATAATGTCCGAGCCCTCCAGATACTAGTTCTGGAGTTTAATGTACATAATGTTGGTTTACTCAGCAGTTTTAAGTGACGACCAGATAGAGGTCTTGAGGATTTTGAAGGGTTATGAGAGGGCGAATTGACTTATTTCCAGTTGTTAAGAAATTAAAGGGGATTTAAATAAAAAATCTTCACACACAAGTGTGGTTGGAATGTCATTTTTTCTTTTGCTTGCGTTGTCACAGCAGAGTCCGTGAATTCTTTTAAAAGGGAATTAAGGTAGATTAACGTTAAATGGTACGGGGGAAACGATCAAACGAGAGCGGGAATAGTTTGGTGTCTCGTTTAGAGAAAAATACCGGTACAGATTTGATGGTCTAAATGGTCGCATTTCTGTGTTGGAATATTCTGTGAATCTGATAATGATAATAATCCTTGAATTTGATACAGCGCCTGATCGCGCTGTTGAGACTTCTCAAAGCGCTTCACAGAATATACTGTAAAGTGGAGTGACTGTGTACTTTGTGGGCGAAAATCTATTCTACAATTCCATAGCACGAATTGCCTACAAGTAGTTGTTAAGCGCTCTGAGATACCGTCCGGCGTGGAGGGCGCTATATAAATCCAAGTTGTTGTTGTTACACTCATTAGTAATTCCCTGGGAGGCATTTTTTGAGACTTTCAATGTAATAAGACGCCCCAAAAATACGGGTTCCTTTCTCATATTGTGTGAAGATTACTACCCCAGAGAAGCTTACCCTACACAAGTTTACTCTTCCAATGTCATTTACCATCTTGTATTAATATACTCAACAAGATCCCGTCGGTGATGTCTACTTTCAAGGCTCAAGAACTTATCTTTCCCGATAGTTCATTGCTCTAACATCGTGCTCCCTTGTTGCCAACTAGTGCATGAAAGGATTCACACTGCGTCTGTAAAGTTATTGACACTAAAACCACAGCCACAGTTCCTCCCACGTCCCAAGTCAAGTCACTGTGTAGCATAAACAATTGCAGAGTTCCTTACATTCCTTTTCGGATTCAAACCACAAGGGGGGAAAGTGTTGGATGAATTTGGATTATTCGCCAAGTTGGCAAAGGACAAAAAGAGATCTTCACAGGGATGGGTTGTGTCTGTGTTTTTAATTAATTAAATGTTAGAGTCGTCACCTTTCCTTCCTTAATCCACAAAGCTAGTGGGCTGCTGGATTCTTCTGAAAAGGTTAATTGATGTATTAAATAGCTGGTGGTGTACCTCGATCTTGTGTTACTTTGGATCTTAATTATAGAACTTCGAACCTACCAAATTACAGACAGCTGTGGCACAAGTATTTAGGAACAGGAGAAGGCCATTCAGCCCCTCGAGCCTGTTCAGCCATTCTATAAGATCATGGTTGATCTGTACCTCAGCTCCATTTACCCGCCTTTGCCCCATATCCCCGGATACCCTGACCTAACAAACATCTATCCACCTCTGTCTTGAAAATTTGAATGGATCCAGCATCCACAGCCTTTTGGGGGAGAAAGAGAGAGTTCCAGATTTCCACGACCTTTTGTGTGAAAAACTGCCTCTTGATTTCACTCCCAAATGGCCGAGCGCCAATTTTAACATTTCACACTAGTTACAACATAAAGAGTTTAAACTACAGGCGAGAACTTCCACCTGGATTTAGATTTTACTGTATTTAAGTTGCATTTTGGAACATCCAGAATTTGCTAAACTCTTTAATAACGCCTCAATTTTGAAGCGATTTTTTTTTTTTCCGGTGAGTTTGTTTCAAAGGTTAAGACTAAATTCAACAATCTGCCACATTCTGCACACTAAAACGGGTCAAAAGCTCTATCTTAAGACCAAGCTGGAATTTTATACATTCGTCATATTTGTTGCATAAGAAATGCAATATTAATATACACACTGGTGGATCAGAGTTTTAAAATAAGAGTTAATGACTGCAGTAGAATAGACTCCAGTCCTGTGGAAATATTTCTTCACCTCGGATGTAAATACTCAACAACAACAGTATTTGCCTTTCACATCATGTGTTTCCTACCCTTTCATTCCAACATGAGTGGGCTGACACCTCTGCCACATAACAATAATCCTCTCATTTGATGCAGCGCCTTATCACGTCTTCGAGACGTCTCCAAGCGCTTCTCAGAATACACTGTAAAGTGTAGTGACTGTGTGTTTTATGCAAACACCATTACCTTGCGGCTAGCCAGCTCCCGGGAGAGCTCTTGTAGCCTCTCCTGTTGTTGTGTCAGTAGCCGTTGCACTGCAGCGAGATTGGTTTGTATTTGCGTCACTGCGTAAAGAAAAGAAAATTGAAAACAAATTTAGTTTCTTGACAACTGTCCTGCGTGCGTGCGTTGGTTGGTTTGTTCATTTAACCTTGCAGCCCCACAATATGCAACGAGATTCGAGACTCCTTCAAAGGACCAAAGTCAAAATCTCTTCTCTGCTGTGCGAAATGGTGAATTTAAAGATATCTTATTGATTTGTGGCCCTGTTCCTCTTCCCCTTCCTCCCCACCTTTCAGATTGACCCTTTTTTGGCACATCCACATAGGTCGTATTTTTGTATTCGCGTTCATATTCCGATTGAAAGCTCGGTCATCATGATCCCACGTCCCACAAGTTTGGGCGATGCGAGATCTATGAAAACGACTGAAATAAATGACTAAAAATAAAGGAATGGATACGTGATAGCTCACAGCACACTCTCCTCTTTCTGCTACGGATGCAGTTGAGGTGTTGCACACAAGAACTCTTACTAGCACAGGTCACGTCTCAGACAAAGATATAATTACTTGAACAAACACATTTCCTCTATCCAGCAACATTATTCTCTTGTATTGTTAAGCCTTAAACCATGAGTTAACGACTCCTTTTATACAGCGACGTCTCCCGAGGTAAAAGGCACAGGATTGTGATCAATCTGACAGTTCGTTTCACACAAACTCAATAAAAAAGATTCTCACTGGTCGGTTCCCGTGATGAAGTGACCAGCAGTTTAAATGAATCCAAGAAAACGTAATCGACGGATATGAACAGAGAAAGGGTCATTAAGCTAAACCATAATCCTTTGCATTTGATTATTTGATTGATTGCATCCTTATCACGTCTTTGAGACTCTTCCAAGCGCTTCACGGAATATACTGTAAAGTGAAATGACTGTATATTTTGTGGGCGAAACGCGGCAGCCGATTGCGCACAGTGGCGTCCCACAAACAGTCGTGGATTGAGTTACCAAATAATTATGATTTTTTTGAAGGGATTATTACCCCCGGAAAAGTAATCCGCCAATCGACTGACAACCGGATTCCTACTTGCTGCGAGGTAAACAGAGGTGTGTGTGTGGAGCACTTGATAGTTAAGTAGGTTAATAAGAACTACATGTAGTCAAATGAGTGCTGCGATGGTAATAAAATAAACACTTAGTGTATGTTTAAACTGTGAAAAATAAGATTGAATGATTTCAAGGCAGTTGCAGGAATGTCAGGGGTTCACATGATACGAACCAACCAAACTATGCTCTTGTTTCTTTATTTACCTTGTCACTTACTCAGCCATTCATTATTAAAGCTATAATCTGATTAATGGATTTAAAGCCCTCTGCAGTGCTAGGGTATGGATAATCCAGATTAAGACATGGTACAGTGTCTATTTCACACCAAACCACATTCATAAAATGGGTTTAATGGAACGGGACGAATATTGAAGATATAAAAGAAGGGTAGATTACACGCAAAGGGGAATCCTTGCGCTTCTCCTTATTTTACTAGATTTAAGGCACACAACTGTCACACATAAGTGCTCCAAAACAGAATAATGCGCCTGGGGAACTTTGAGATATAGATAATCCTGAACTCAAGGGGAGGATGGGTTTATTGGTATTCAGAGTGGCCAAGAACCTCATCATCATCAACAACAACAGCAGCAGCAGCAACTTGCATTTATATAGTGCCCCTCACAAAGGATAGTGTCCCAAAGTGCTGAAACACAAGACAATACTGTGCAGAAATTTGTACGGAAAAAATTGTTGTCGTTTTTGTTTCGTCCCCACACGTGAGACGTGATGGAATTCGTCGCGTTTCGCCCACAAACTATACGGTCAATTCACTTTATGGTGTATTCTGTAAAGCGGTTTTGAGACATCTCGAAGACGTGATCAGGCGCTGTATCAAATAATGGTTATTATTCTTATTCAAACAAGGCATTGGAATGTGTTGTGTGGTAATGATGGTAATTTCCGTTTTGTACAAAAACGTTCACAGTTTTATTGTACTTAGCTTCTTTATGATTTGTACGTCAAGTTCTGACCTTTCTGGGGGGTGGGGGGCAGATCAGTTAGTTTAATGCGGTGAAGGTAAAGTAAAGCTGATCATTGTTTCTCAATGAAAGGCGATCGCAAATTATCCAACATTTTTTCTGAGGGAACGGGGGATTGACAGCTAATTAAAACTGGCGGTATTGCTGTTAACAAGGGCTCAAAGATCCAGGGCTCATGATATTTAGAGAAAGGGAGTATTCGAGATCATTGTATCATCTGACATGCATCTCCACTACGTCCCCTGACAACCTGATGCTCCTAATCAGAAAAGTTCCGAGAAAATAAACAGTCAAATTCACTTTACAGTGTATTCTGCAAAGCGCTTTGAGGCGTCTCAAAGCCGTGATAAGGCGCTACATCAAATGCAAGGATAATTATTATTATTATTATTATTATAGAAGGACATTGAAAAGCAACGAGAAGCTTCACACGCAGAATACACTACAGGAACAGTTAACCAAAGGCACAAAACCACAAGAACTCAACGAGTTGATAGGCAAAATTACAAACACATTGCCCATGTGAAACTTATAATTGGTCATCTCGTTCCTCTACTCAACTGATTACATGCAAGAACTAATGATTAACAGGGCAGAGATGCCTCAAACTGTCAACTAATCACGAAAAATGCCAACAAGACACATACCAATCCCCTACAAACTGAAATCATGCTAAATACAAACAGGCCCTGAATAAGAATTGCACCAAACACCTTCCCTTCCCTCTTCTTGCGGTTTCCCCGAGAAACAACACCATCAGCGGAAAGTGCCTAATTACTCTTATGCTTAATGCTAATAATTCTTCCATTTGAAATGGCGCCTGATCACGTCTTCGAGACGTGGCAGCCAATCGTGCACAGCAGCGTCCCCACAAACTGTCGTAGATTGAATGAGCAAATTATTATTATTATTTTTTGTGGGGGGGGGGGGGGAGAGGAAGGGATTATTATTCATGGAAAAGCGATCCGTCAATCGACTAGCAACCGTGTTCCTACCTACTGCTAGGTAACCAGAGGCGTGTGGAGTAAGGAAATTTGCCCAAGGTTTCGTCCCACCCGGGAATCGAACCCGGGTTCCCCCTGAGCAGGGTTAACAGGTCGCAAGAGGTAGGAAGGAGCAAGGCCTTGGGAGGGATTTGAAGGCGAGAAACATTCCTTTTAATAGATTCCCAATGATTTTGCGTGGCTGATTTTGCCAGTGATACTGTATAAACAAGATAACTATCTCAGTAGAGGAATACATAACAATAAGAGAAAATTAATCCCTGGCCATCAGGTAACAAAAGATGCAAACCAGCCATTTCTCTTTCCCTTCTCCAGAACTCCCATATTAGTTATTTCTCTTCCCAGTAGAATTAAATTCAACTCAGATGTATTCAGGAGAGAAAATTAGTGAGTTATGGTTTCCCTCTAGGACCACTTGCATTTATATAGCGTCCACATGGGGTAACATCTCAGAGCGATGGAGAGGACCTAGAGATAGCTCATACTACAAAATTAATTTCACTCAGATATGCAGGCTAAATAGAACAAAGACTCTCTTTCTCTTCTCCCAACATCCCAAGATGTAGCCATGAGAAGATATAATAATAATCCTTGCATTTGGTCACTCAATCCACAACTGTTTGTGGGACGCTGCTGTGTGCAATTGGCTGCCGTGATTCACCCATAAACTAGTCAGTCAATTAACTTTACAGTATATTCCATGAAGTGCTTGGAGACGTCTCAAAGACGCGATAAGGCGCTATACCAAATGCAAGGATTATTATTATTATTAATGGGTTAAAAAGGTGAATTTTAGTTTTACTTTAACAACCATTGTTGTTGGTTTAGGTGCATTTCAGACAGAAGCAGCTCTGAAGCAGACCATCCTTTCCCTGGGAGAGGTTTGTTTCGCTGCTGGTAAATGCAAACAATTACATTTGTGGTTTTGAATGATGCAAATAAATCTTTTAAATAATTAATATTCCTCCAGCCTTGAATGAATATAAAACAAAAAGCCTGCTGTTGTTTTACTTGTACTTTTATTCTCAATGCCGTTCTCTTTTCAGATCCATCAATAGCCAAATTAGGTCAAAACAACTACCTGAAGGATCGAATGTCAATAAATATTGCATTACTTGGAAGTCTTCAGTCCTGCCTGAAACTCGTGGACAACAGCAGCAGTAAATCACTGTGGTCTAGAACTAGCTAATACGAGTGCCAGTACTGCACTGGAGTGTCAGCTTTGACTATGAGCTCAAACCCCCAACGAATTCACAACCTTCTGGGACTTGAACTCATACTCATTCCAATACTCAAACCCTAGTGCAGAACTCCACTCATATTGCACTCATACTCCTACTACAACAACAACAATGAATAAGGCCGAAACCTTAGGCAAGTTTCCTCTGTTTACCTAGCAGTAAGTAAGGAGGAACCCGGTGGTTAGTCGAATGGCGGATCGCATTTCCGGGGGTAATAATCCCTTCAAATAAAAATAATTTGGTCACTTGATCCACGAATGTCCTGTTCATAACGGAAGCAAGTTTCCCACATTGTCCTGACCAACAATCCAGATACACTGGTCATTCACCTCGAGGCTGATTATACAGACTTTGCTGTGTGTAAAATGGCTGCTGCATATGCCTCCAAAAACAGTCACAACACTTAGCAGTAAAGTGCTTTGAGATGTTTTGACGTATAAGTTTCTTTCTATATCAATGAATATGGGCAGACTGTTCAAATGTGGGGGTCAACACAGCAAAGCCTAATTCCTGTTGTCTTCTTGTCCAACATCCACACTTACGCACTCACAAAGAAAAGTAATTCCTCCCCTAGAAGCAAGGCACCAAGGCTTGGATATCTCAGCACGGGTTAATATATGAAAACGTTTGGTTGTGCTGCAGAGTTACCAACCAGGCTCCTCTGTAGAAAATCCTGACTTCGATCCAAAGGCAGATTGTCTTTACAACAGGCTGACAAACCAACTTGCT